GGGACGATGCGCAGTGAGCTACTGAGCATCGTCCTCAACAGGGGTTGGGGGTAAGCAGCGAGTGACGCTTTTTGACTCACCCCCACCACGCGAGTTGACTCTCCTGGTTTCTAGTCTTCTTGGACGCAGACCTCAATGGCCCAGTAACAGCCGCGACGACTGCCGGGCCAATCAACAAGAAGAAGAAGAAGAATGTCTAACTTGATTCCATTTAAGCCTGCGGCAAACGATGCTTGTTTTCCTGCTGGATTGCTAGCTGGATTAGAATCTTGCCATTGTATTGGCTGCGATGCTGGCACTGACAGCATCACATCCAATACGGTGGCAAGATTCTAATCCAGCTAGCAATCCAGTAGGAAAACAAGCATCGTGTGCCACCGGCTTTAGTGTCTATTAAATTATCTCAATTTCGGCAATGCATAAAGAATGGTGTACTACTCCCGTATAATATGTGTCCAAAAGAAAATGTATCAAACGTACTTAAAAGACATTAATATTTGAGTGATGGAAGTGAATTACAGTGAACAGTTGTGTCGAGCATTATTACAGTGAATCCAAACTTATTCCTCCAACTGTTTCAAGAAGCTAGAGCAAAATGGAATCATTGAACATCTATAAGGTAATAACAATTTTATAATTGAGATAATAATAAGCTTTTAAAGTGTATTTGGCTTACATTTTTGTTTTAAACATTCATAACTCTTTGAATGCTAAAAAGCACGATCGCGTTTCTCATAAAACTTGTCATAAATATGTAATAAATACTACGAACACGATATCGCAGATAAAATTGTTAGAGACATTTTTGTAAAATTGAGAAATTAAACAATAATTGCGTGCAACATGTATTATGATGCCTATTGTCATACAATTAAGTCTAACCATAGAACTTATACTACTGGAAGGGGAATACGGACGTCCAGCTGTGAGCAAATCTAAAGGATACAAGATATCTTTCTATCCTGCTCGGTGTCTGTTCTTCTTTATGCGCATGATCATCACCAGCCAATCGAAATTTTCAGATGCCAACACATAATCATATCGTTTTTGAAATATAAACGCGATTTTATTATAATTTCTTAAAATGGTTCGATGCATTTTGTGTTGTAATCATGACAAAACAGTGACTTACCACAGGTAAGTGTATTACACAACTTGTAATTGTCAATAAATACTTGTATTCTATGCTCGCATATTTTAGGTTAAATAAAATTATATTCCAATTCTTGCAGATTTCCAAAAGAAATACAAATAAGAAAACAATGGGTAAAATTTTGTAATTTTGGTGACAATTCTGTGATCAAAACTTACACTTATTTATGCTCAAAACATTTCACGGAAAAAGATTACCTTCTTACAACTGATAATAGAATTTTAAAGAGTGAAAGCATACCATCTATTTATCATGTCAAAAAAAGAAAAAGATATGTACATAAAAAGATAAACTGTATTATATAAAACAAATTGTTCCATTTGGTTATTTTTTAGTTATATAATATATATTATAATTGTAGGAATCAAAATAACAGCAAAATTAACAAGATTGCCAAAAGTGAATATATGGTAAATGTGTGTAAAGAAGAATCATGTTCAACAATAGTAAATGTATGTGAAGAGGAATCATCATGTTCAACTATAGTAAATGTATGTGAAGAGGAATCATCATGTTCAACTATAGTAAATATATGTGAAGAAGATCAATGTTCAACTATAATAGCTGATAAAAATATGGATGAATTAATTCCTGAAAAAGAGAAAATTGATCATTGTAAGTTTCTTTAAATGATAAGCTAGTGGCACATGAT